ACGGACACCAGTCACATTTCCTGCGTCTTTTGCAGCATACAGGATAGACTCATCACTGTAAAGTCCACTACTTCGTGATTTTTATTTGTAGAATACATGACAGGCGAATTCAGTGTGCCTCGCAGGACTGCGAGATGCTGCAGAAGACCAGGTTCGACCTTTCTGGACCGCCTTTCACCGACGGTAGGCTACACGATGCTGGAGGAACTAGATTCCAGTGAAAACCCAAGATTCCTTTTCTCCTGGACGCTCCGACGTGTTGTGATATCTGCCAGGTGCGCAGTAACTAGTATTTTCATCGCTATAGCGAGGACGACGCCGATCGGCAAACTCTCGCTCACAGCCATCACCAGCCTCTCAAAACCATCACTTGGCATCCCCCAGAGGTATAGGAGAAAGCCAAAACAGCTCTCAACAAACAAAAGCTAAGGACGATGGAAAGAGAGCATGTCAAAAAGAAGACGAACAGTATGAAGTTCAAATGGGTTTGAACACTCGTACCACCAACTATACCACTTTCAATAAATCGTGACGCCATTTTGTTTTAACACGCATACGGTCCAATTTCAGCTTTTCTGAAATCGAATAAAATGCATCTACCTTCACCACTCGTATTCGACCGTCGCTTCGCACCAGGCCTGATACGTGCACCAGGTGTCTTTTTCAAAGTTCTTTCTCACACTGATGCAGTACAATACATGTAGCAGAAGATGCGAGTGAATCAGCCTTTATCAAGTATCCCGGCGCGGTGCGGACGAGATAGTAGAGAGGTTAAGATGCACGTTATTTCCGACGTGACGCGAAAGTTCAGCTCGCGTTATTTGCTCGCACGTCGAAAAACCAACGCGAGTGACCTGCTGCTCACGTCGAAATTTGGAGTTTTACGCCAAGTTCGACGTGAAATTGCGCGTCACGTCGGAAATAACGTGCATCTTAACCTCTCTAGTGACGGGTAGTCCGCAAAACTCCGCGTACATGTAAAAAGTCATGTACCTTATGCATGTTACAAAGTCATGACGTCTGGATTTTAGCAGCCATGACTGCGCAGGCTCCCGGGTTGGATATTGCTCTGATAATTGAACAAAATTGATCTACACACTGTAGTTGATGTTCGGTCATGATGGAAGGAGAGGAGCAGCTACGGGAGAGCTGCTACGTTCCGCTGTATTGTGTGTCCGGGGTGCTCGCCTGCTCGGTCACCGTCCAGTTCACATGCTTCGTGAGTTGGCCATGGTGGAGGGTCGTGTTCCCCTGCCGTGATCAGTGCTGCACCGAGCTAGTTTTGTGTGAAAGTATATTATTATTATTTTTATATTCTTATATTTCTACTTCAAGTATTAGAAAATAATTGAGAGGCTTTGAATCGTTTTTATCAAAATCTAAATACAGTGAAAGCTGTCTAAGACGACCTCTCAAGGGACCTTAAACACGTGGTCACCGTTACCAGGTGGTCTCCTTATCCAAGGTCAATTGACTGGAAATAACATCCCTTGGTTCTGGTTGCAGTGGTCTTCTGGGACAGGTGGTCGCCTTATTCGAGTGGTCGCCTTATCCGAGTGGTCGCCTTGACAGGTTTTACTGTATTTGCCGGGTTGGAAGGTGGGATCAAAATATTTTAAAACAAATGAAATACAAGCTACGGGAGAGATGAGCTCATTATTCGCAGGGTGAGGTTGACATCGGTTGGACCGTCGGAGTATGACGGTTATGAAGGCAGTTGAACACGATAAGGAGTACGCGCATGGGTATGTGGGTAGGTGTATGTGTGTGTGAATGTTAAGAGAATAGTCTAAGTTCAGTGACATTAATTTTCTTTCTGGATGCATAGATTGGGGTTCTGTTTGCGAATGAAAACAGCTTCCAATACTTTAAGTTCACTAAACCTACGAGCACGGCACAAAACCGTGAAACAAGAGTCATCATAAACTGAACGGCTCTGACTGTTGGACAACAGGTGTTTCTTTATTGCGGATCTCTTTCTAGTATCATCACCCTCACTTTCCATCTGTCCACTGCCGGCCTCAACATCCTCGTCCTGCTCTCCATCACTGCCAGTACCTTCACCGTCTGTGGTCTGCCGGTCCTCATCCTCCGTCAATACTGTTGTCACGTGGGTTGCTGCTTCGGGTCCATGTCCATTGGTAGAAATCATTCGTGTTGAATCACTGTTGATCGAGTCATGCTGCTGTCGATGTGTCTCGGACTGGTTAGCATCTGGGCTGTCTGTTAATCGTGTAGTCTCCTCGGGTAAAAGTAGGCACCGAGTCGTCTGTCGGATGTGAGCCTCCTTCAAGGGCTTAGTAACTTGGTTGGTCGGTCTCGTCTAGGCCGTAGGGCACTAGCACTGTCTGATAATAGATAGAGCGGTACATGTTGTTTAACACGTGCGTTCAGGTGCTGAAGGGTTCTACCTACATATCGGCGAACACAATGCCGACATTCAAAACGGTAGATTACATGGGTAATTAGTTGGGTAGGAAGAACGTCCTTCTTCACCGTGAACGCACGCGCTGTAGTGAACACTGGCGTAAAGGAGGTAGCGGAGTAAGTTTGACGATTTCTTTAACTTCTCGGGCTGCATCTAGTGATACTTGACCCTTCCATGGGAGTCTCAAAAATACTCGCCACGGATTGGACCCGAAAGGCTGTTCCATGGCATTGACAACAGGCTCATTGAATAGTTTGTTCAAGAGTTGTACGGGGTAACCATTCTTAACAAAATCTTGTCTCAGGAAAGCTAGCTCTTCCTGAAGCTTACTGGGTGAGCAAATGCGCCTGGCAGTAGGCTAGCACGCTCAATAAGATTACGTACACCTAAATAATCTCACCATTTTCGTCATGCCTCCCCTTGCAGCACTCTCTTTGTTTCTCTCCTTATTATTCAGTTCGCCGTGGTTGGCTACCACCCGACTTCTCATACATATTGGCAGTCTTCTGACGAGCCAGGAGATGTTGAATTAATAATACACGATTAGGTTTATACAGGGGCGAGCAATAAATATATTTGCAGCCATCTTCGTGTGATATTGATCCTTTGTGATAATTACAGTAGCTCTACCCTTGTCCGGTTTTGTAATGATGTCCTTACGTGTTCTGAGATCGCGGAGAGACTTCATGTGTTCCCGCGTTAACGAGAATGACTTGCGGCCCGGCTGTTGTGTGGCATGTTCCTCCGCTATCATGTATGGAGCGTAACTTACAAGCGCACAGCGACTTCTGTGTATCTGAGCACGATTCAAATTCGGCTAACCTATTGTAGAAAAGCTCGAATTCTTTAAAAGGGTTAAGTGACGTTAGAGAATACCGAAATCGATGCCTCTACAGATCGAGGAGCTCCTTCTCAATGTTGCTCAGTTTTACAATAGCCAGATTAATAATCGTACTATGCTCAATTGAAAAAGACCCGAACAGCTTCTTCCTATTAAAGGCAATTTAAGTTCTTTCGATGTTTAGTGATAAGTCGTATATGTTGCGTGTTGTCATTTTGTGATAGGAGGTTCGAGAAACCTAAGAAATCTAAAGCGGGATTCACAGAAGCTTTTTTTCGATGCGATGGGCGATGCGACGCGATCTGCGATGGACGCGTGCGATGCAAACTCGTGAATTACCATTCACAGAAGAAGTCAGCGATGCGACAACACCTTTTTGATTTGGCGTGAAGTCCAATGCAGGTGGGTACGTCACCATGGTATTCGCGTGGTTAGGTACAACTTGTACAAATTTACAGGCAACTCTTGAACCTTTGTACCACTTTGCTGTAGAAAAGGTCAAAATCGTACGCCAAATCGCTTGCCACATCGCAAAACTTGAGCCAAGCTCAACTTCTGCCTGCTGCGATGGCCTTGTTGCGGCCCTGTTGCATGGGCTGCGAGATGGGTGCGATATGGGGATTTTCCGGTTTCGCGGGGAGAGAAATGAAACGGCCTGAGCATATTAACGTCTTAAGCGGGATTCACAGAAGCTTTTTTGTGATGCGACACGCGATGCGACGTGATCTGCCACGGACGCGTGCGATGCGAACTCGCGAAATACCATTCACAGAAGAAGTCAGTAATGCGACAACGCCTTGCTGATTTGGCGCGAAGTTCAATGCAGGTGGGTACGTCACCACGGTATTCGCGTGGTTTGGTACAACTTGTACAAATTTATAGGCAAGTCTTAAACCTTTGTACAACTTTGCTGTAGAAAAGGTCAAAATCGTATGCCAAATCGCTTGTCGCATCGCAAATGTTGAGCCAAGCTCAACTTCCACGATGGCCCAGTTGCGGCAGTTGCGTGGGGTGCAAGATGGCTGCGATTTGGGGTTTCCCGGTTTCGCGCCTGTTGCGTCGCGTGTCGCATCGCAAAAAAGCTTCTGTGAATCCTGCTTAAACTGGGACTTGACATTGCTGAGAGCTACTCACGGCCAATATCATCTTCTAAAATGAAGACTCTCTCTCTCTCTCTCTAGGTTGAGGGAGTGATATGCCTGCGCCTTGTTGACGCGGTTCCGTATCGATTGTGGCCCAACACCATGCTCTAAACATTGTGTGAGGAATTTAAGGTTGTGTGCTATTGTACGACAAATAAAGCGCTTCCCAATATCTGTGTTCAAGCATTCTACCTGAGGTGCAGAGTATCTCCTCTTGAGGTTTACGAATAAGCGGCGCACAGACAATAACTTTATTATGGCAATCAGCAGAATCAGCGACGCGGACATTGGATGTAGTAATCAACAAAAACAAAAGATGGATAATAAAATTTCCTAACAAGTTTTCTAGAGACAATCATTAGGGAAAAACGGTCAAAATCAAGGGAATTCAGTTTCGTCGTCCAGGGAACTCAACCCTCCAGGTTGGCATGTATGTGTGAAACTCAAAAATTCCAGCTTGTGCTTCGATTAGCAACACCGGTCCTTTAGGAATTCAATTCAAGGTTTTACAGAAACTCCAAATGTGAAAAGCAACTTAAACTGTATCAGTAGAATTGAATGGAAAAGTAAAATGTCTGTTCCTCTTTTTCACCTGCCGCATGATGCAGTGCACTGCCATGCAGGGCTGTTCATCCATAGTTCCGTGGAGACACACTGTGATCAGGCCGATCAGAGGCAATTCAACGGTATTTTCCGCCTACCAGATAAGCTAGCTGCCATGCAGGGCTGTTTCTCCATAGTCCAGTGGAGACACAGCTACAGTGGGAGTAGGCCGATTAGAGGTAGTATAGACGGTTATCGAGTTGTGGGTTCGGCAAATGGATGGTGTGTTCGCCCACCAGATAGGCTAGCTTGTGAGCATACTGGCATTGTGCTGGTACTCTTATCGTACCCTGGAAAGAAACACGCAAACACACACACATACACATACACATACATACACATACACACACATACACATACACGAACACACACACACACACGCACACACACACACACACACACATACACACACACACACACACACAAATACACACACACACAAACAAAGAAGATAATGAATCAAAAAAGCACTTTCGGAAACAGTGGAAACAGCAATACAGATTGCATGTACTAGATTTTCGGCTAAACTGGTTATGTTTCTCAACAGTCAACACCATTGTCTAGCAGGTGGTTATGTTTCTCAACAGTCAACACCATTGTCTAGCAGGTGGTTATGTTTCTCGACAGTCAACACCATTGTCTAGCAGGTGGTTATGCGGGAATGCAAACTTCACTTCACTTTCACACCCAAGCCTCAGTAGTCCACTGCAGTCTCTGCTAGTCCAAACTCACCACACCCCAGAACACAACAACAGTATGTATGCGTTATGCAGGGATATCCCCAACACACATACACACACACACACACACACACGCACACTCACACACACACCTACACACACTCACACACACACCTACACACACACACACACACACACACACACACACACACGCACACACACACACACACAAACACACACACACACAAACACACACACACACACACAAACACGAACACAAACACACACACACACACAAACACACACACACACAAACACACACAAACACGGACACAAACACACACACACACAAACACGGACACAAACACACCCTTACCGGCCAATTGTAGTAATTGTGTGTTTGAAGGTAGGTGTGCGACTGGATTTGGTTCGGCGTCAATTCTGTATTATTCGCTCCTTTCCAAGTATCAAAGATAATGTTGTAATGGGTCGGAGTCACGGTGCCTTGGTTGACACTCTGACTACAGAGAAAGAAGTCATACCTACACAACAACACGCGTAACATTCAGGGACAGAAGAAAATATAAATGTCACGGTTCATGCGAGATGAGCTCCCTGCACCCGCAGGAACGCCGCCACCGTCCAGGATCAAGGCACAAGTGCAGCTGCTTAATTAAGTAAGTAGGTCAGACAAGGACACAGCAGCAGCAGCAAGTTAGAAAGACAACCACAGACTTGAAACACAATACAATCATGATGAATGGCTAGTGTTATGTGAATTATCATTACACCGGTATGCAGTATTACCTTCCACATAGTCTTTAGTCTAGCATGACATCATATATTTATCTCAATTCCGTGTTTTTCGAAGAATAAAAAAAAAGAATAAAAAGACAAACAATCCCAATAACTGAGTCCATGAACCTGCTGGAGTGGAGCTATCTGGTGTAGTCGGCACACCACCATCCATCACAACACAACCTTCGGCATAAACCCAGTGTGGACTCTGAGACCCACGTTCGGACGAGCTGCCCAGGCCTCACCACCATGCACTGCCGCTTCCGTGCTGCCTTCTCTATACACACGCATGTACACTGAACATGTGCACATTCACATGTCTGAAGGTTTGTGGCTTTCAATCAATAATAATAATAAATATAAAACAGAGAGGTTCCAGGCTGTCCAAGAGAGTGCTCAATACCGAGTGGTAGAGCTGGTCAAACAATAGGAGGACAGAGAAAGTGTTTTTACTCCGAGTTTCACGCACTAAGCGATCATCAGAACACTGTTTTCTGATGATCGCTTAGTGCGTGAAACTCGGAGTAAAAACACTTCCAGCCGAGTCTCGCGCGAACCGTGACATTAAAAAATAAATAAACATTCGCGGCTCGCCTGATACTCGGCTAGAGGCTGAGTTTTCAGGATCCGCCGTGGGAACGCTATCACCGTATGGTTCAAGGTGCAGATGCAGCTCCTAAAGCGGTGGGAGGCGAGTAGATCACACCCACCACAAAGCCATCCCCATTCGCCGTATCCGTGCACCACCAGCAAGAAGGCGTAGCATCCTCAGAGCAGCAGCTGCCGACAGGTATGCAAATGATGTTTCAAAAGGAGGTGAACTAACTGATTTGCATGATGTGAGCGCTACACAGGCAGAGTTGGCGGTTTTGCTTGAGCTAGTGTGTCGTTGTGTCGGAGTGTTGCCAAGGCATCTCCACTGATCAGGCTATTGCATAACCTCTATTGCCTTCAATCTGTCAGACAGAACACAGACAAGCTCCGGGCATTTTGACTTTGGTCACCTGTTCATACTGGCCCGGTACCCTTCGACTTTGGTCACCTGTTCATACTGGCCCGGTACCCTTCGACTTTGGTCACCTGTTCATACTGGCCCGGTACCCTTCCGAGTTCGTGGGATTTTCGCGCAGCCGAAAAAACAATGAACACATTGAATCAAGGAGACAACGGTTGGTAAAAAATATTATATAAGGGCTGGAAACAACTGATCACAAGTCAGCCAATATTGTAGTAGTAGTAGTAGCAGCAGCAGCAGCAGCAGCAGCAGCAGCAGCAGCAGCAGCAGCAGCAGCAGCAGCAGCAGCAGCAGCAGCAGCAGCAGCAGCAGCAGCAGTAGCAGCAGTAGTAGTATGTATTATTATTTTACTTGGGTATACCCAACAGGCCTATGGCCTTCTTACAGGGTGCCCAAGGATTGTGAGCAGGTGAGTGAGATCGCCAACGGTTAACATATCCCTCCCCAGTGGGGTCTCCAATGGTTAACATATCCCTCCTCAGTGGGATCTCCAGCGGTTAACATATCCCCTCCTCAGTGAGGTCTCCAATCGGACGTATACCCCAAAATCAATTTTTCACCAGTTGTAGTCTTCGGGTGCTGAGTCGAATGGTCTTGGTTCGAGGAAGCAGTCTTCCTCCTTTACTCCCAATCGAACTGCCCACTTCCACCGAAACTGCAACTGCGCCCTACTAGATGGGGACTTGAATGCAAAGTGTAACTAAAAGCGCCATTTCATTCTTATAAAAAGGATGGATGACGGCAATTGGCCCATAAGTTGTAGTCTTTTGGATGCTGAGTCGACTGGTTTTGGTCCGAAAGGGCTGCGATGCAGCGTTCGGTCCTCTCCGCCAATCGAACACGGCCGGGCAAGCTGCCACGTGCTCGTGCGTACACCAGTCACCTGGTCACCATGCCTGCAGGCTACAATTTTCAGACCAAGGTTCAACTCAAAGGTTCAAAGGTTCAACCCAAGTGACAGGAACGAACCCAAACAGGCTGTAAGTTGACACATTGTAGCAAGTTGTATGCAGAGTACATACCATTTTTCGCGCGTAACGACATCGTCAATGACTGTTCCGGGTAATGGGTTTTCCTTGTAAGGCCAAACTAAAGAAGGTGTGTGGTTCGACTCACCCGACCGACCGTACAATTTCAGCCCGACCGTAACTTTTTTTCGGCGGGCTGTCGTGTAACTGACGTACGTGGACTGAACACGTCCACGTCTACGTGCTGTGCGGCGTGAGTCTGCGGACGCAGGCGGCTCCTTTTGGACTTGACTTGTAGTTGTACTGCAGTGCAGTGCAGTGAGTGGTACGACTGCTGCCTTGTGCTGGTAGTAGAGTCTACTCGATACGCGTATACAGTGTATTTACATGTACTAAAAAATATATTTAAAAAAAAAAATCCGCCCGCCCGCCCGTAAAAAAAATGTCCATGTTAGTCGAACCACACACCTTCTTTAGTTTGGCCTAACGACCTATCGTCCTATAGAAGCGGTGGTTGATCCGCTTCTGAACAACAACGAAGCACACGCCAACCCTGCAGAGGAGAGATGGTAAAATTGCACAGCATCTCAGCATACACATCCTTATTCAGGGGCGTCGCACACGGTATGGTCACTGCGGTATTGACCGTACCACTATTTGCCCCAAGTACCCCGTGAATCAATAAAATGCGCTGATTTGGGCTCTAATTTTCCAAACTTTTCGCCTCAGCCACCCCAGGTCCCCTACCCCACCAGTAAGTTGTACTTAAGATGGCTGACCGTGCCACACTAATTACCTTCCGACGCCCCTGTTATTGAAGTGCCGGGTCACAAAACAGCAAAATGTGTTTGCAAAAATCATCTATGCCGGTAAAGACTGAAAGATGATGAGGTTTTCGGCTCCTTGTAGCCTATTCCTTATGATATGCTCACATTGACCCCTTCAGTGCTAACTTGATTTTTAGTGAAATGGCTGAATGCACTACATATTGTGCAAGCTGTTCGGATTACAACTTTCGTTTCCCTTCATCAGTTTCGACAAGTAGGCTTTCTGGAAAGGTCTTGTAATTAACAATCCTCTATAGCCAACGTCGTCATCGAATAGATGTGCTCCACGGTTACATACAGACACAGTGCGAAGTGACGACAACGTCTTCAACTTACGTCTGTCCTTCAGGCACAGTACGTTCTATGCCACGTATGATCTGGTCGCACTCATTGTCACGGACATAAGCCAGCTAAGTGAAAAACGCAAAAGAAAACAAGGGGCCCACACGATGTTACAGCATTTCTGAAGCAATAGATTCCTGGTTGGAGGGAAGCGGAACTACCACACGAAGTACGGAAGCCATTTTAGAGAGGTTCCGGGGTACGATTTTCCGTGCCAAAATCCGCATGGGGGATACGGATTTTTTCGAGGCATCCTTCTGTGACGGGAATGGTCTTAGAGACTGCTTCTCCCATTCCCGTTGGCTTTTCATTCTCATTTCGTCGTAATTATTTACACTCCTTCCGCATGTATGCATGCTGTGTATGTCTCGTGATCCCCAAATTAATTATTATTATTATTGTAGAAAGGAAAAGGACATATGGATACGAGTTAAGAGTAACTATCCATCACTGTAACTGGATACTATATACAGTCAGAAAGTGCAATAACTAGGCACAAAACTGACAAGAGTACTGAGACTTTCGACGTCCTGACACCTAGCTTCAACACATCTCCGTAGCGCTAACCGACAGCCTTCCAACTTGGAAGGTTCAAGGTTATGGAAAGACCAAAGAGGGGAAGGCAATTCCCCTCTTTGGTCTTTCCATAACCTTGAACCTTCCTTTGTGGGCTCACCACACCTCAGTAAGTGGGTGAGGACAAGGTGCAGAAAAAGGATTGACGGCATCAGGGTATCCGTCCCGGGATCCAACTGCAGTTACCCCTGCCGCCAGTGAAGGTAATACTTGCTACTAGTGTGACACACACACACACACACACACGCACACACACGCACACACACACACACACACACACACACACACACACACACACACACACACACACACACATGTGTACACAGTGCACCAAAGAAGCACAGATGCCAAGGGATGGCAATGTGACCATGCACCGGATGGCTAGCATTTTATCATTCACGCCAACCATGACCGTCAGCCTGTACTGTTTTTTCTTGGGTGTTGAGAGAGAGGTTAGCACTTCGATTTCTGACACAACGATCGACTTGTGACGTAACCCTGGTTTTAATCTTATCTTTTCGTTCTCCCGCTAAACAGAGCTTTCTATCGTTGAAACAAGGGAGTCGTAAAAGCCCCAAAACGATACCGAACCGACGGTATTTTGGGTATTGGGTGCGATTGCCGTTGGATTTAGCGTGAATGGTAAAATGCTAACCATGTCTAGTGCATGTAGTCTGAGAGAACGTCGCCACAACACACAGCTTTTAAAATCGCTATGGCCGTAGATGTGTATCATATTTCAAAACACACTTGACAATGTTCACAAACTTCACCTATCACATCTACTTTACATCACCGAGACTAGTTGCCAGGGCAACAACAATCATATCTTTCCTTCTCCTCACAGTGAGGAAGGAAAGGGCCCCATATGCCTGTGTGGGCGCATACGTGCGTGTGGGCATGCGAGCGTTAAACCTCATTGGTAGGACACCGTACGCTGCGTTTGAATCCCACACATGGATCCTTGTGTTTTTTTGGAAAGATTGGCTTCCGAGCAAGCGATGTTTTATGACCTTAAGCCAATACAGACAGAGATACCCTCCTTAGAAGACAAGCCGGGGGTTCAATTTTTTGTCTTAATTTTAATTAAATAATCTACGTGGAGATAAAAGTTTAATAATAGCAATGAAAAGTATGAATGCCGCAGACATCACCACGCAACATGACAATTTGTTCAAGGTTTGGTTTTGTGTGTTTCCAAAATCGATTTTCACGTTCCGATCATCAGTGGAAATACGGAACTAAAGAGATCAAGGGAAAAACAAAGGTTAAAAATCCAAAGAAGTGTGACACATGACGGGTAACTTGTGGTAAGTTTTACAAAAAGTGAGAACTAAAATAAAGAGTAAGTGTGACAAACGGGCATGAACAGTGCAGAAACAACTCATGAACACGGGGTGCAAACTCACGAAAATAACCTAAGTGCTAAAACATGTTCTTTTTGCTTACACAAATCGGGCTTATGCGTACGAATACAAACAGCTTCAAGGACCATGTTTTAGCACTTAGGTTATTTTCGTGAGTTTGCACCCCGTGTTCATGAGTTGTTTCTGCACTGTTCATGCCCGTTTGTCACACTTACTCTTTATTTTAGTTCTCACTTTTTGTAAAACTTACCACAAGTTACCCGTCATGTGTCACACTTCTTTGGATTTTTAACCTTTGTTTTTCCCTTGATCTCTTTAGTTCCGTATTTCCACTGATGATCGGAACGTGAAAATCGATTTTGGAAACACACAAAACCAAACCTTGAACAAATTGTCATGTTGCGTGGTGATGTCTGCGGCATTCATACTTTTCATTGCTATTATTAATTTTAATTCGCAAACCAAACGGGCAGATCTGCCCAATGAAAAGGTGGCGAATGCAGATAGAAAGCAGTAATTAATGAAATTGGGGAGGGATGTAATAAGGATAGAGGTGGAGAGAAACTAAGCCAGGTGATCATCAAACAGGACGTATATAACCCCCGAAGAGTGTGCAACTCCTGATACCCTTTCCATGGGGTACGCCGACGGGGAAAACTCACATCACGCGGTGCAGCATTGCAGTTGTATGCTTCAACTGTCCAGCCCGTTTTTAGCGAGTAGCGGAGTAATAAAAAAGCACTCTGTGACAGAAACTCACTGCGGGTATGCAAATCCTCAGCATGATCATGGCAGATATTCGGATTGCGCGCACGCTATCCTTTGTTTTTACTTAGTACGAACGTATCTGAGACATATGATGTGAGTTTTCGCCGTCGGAGACCCCATGCACTCTTTAGGGGGGGGGGGGGGGGTATATACTCTTAGTATTATCTACCATCCAAACTTGAATGTACGCGTTTCAGGCATCAGCGGATTTTTGATGATTGTCTACCAATGAGGTTTGTCCTGTAACCAACGTCGTACTAACGAATGTAGACCAGTATCTGGGCATTTAGAGTGGAGACGGCCAAGGAACCACTTCCACAGGAACCGGACTGTGATCCTTGCATCACACTTTCCCCAGCAAAGGTGTTACACATCAGGCTAAAAGCAGATACCAGCTACTACTCACTAGTATTTCACAGCAACTGGTGCAGGACGAAACTGTCGTCTCTGGGACAGAAACTGGCCGTACGATAGAAAACTATTTGAGTAATAGAGGAAAGGGGAAGAGGTCGATTTTCATGTATGAAGTTGCAGGAAAGCTGACCGCCACTTCTACTACCTTTTCAAACAATTGAGAGTTTGCGGAAAGCAAAGTTTCGTGGCGTTCGACATAAGTAACCTCGAAAAAGGCTACGAAAATCGGTCGATTCGGAGGTTGCGCAAAACACCAAGTTTTTTCCGAGTGCATGTAGTTGACAATCAGACATGCAAGCGCTAAGTATACGACATTACACCGGTGTCGCTAAGTATACGACATTGCACCGGTGTCGTACAGCACTGGGCACCAGTACAGTGATAGCAACTTCAACTTAACAAGTAATTTTCGTTTTTCAGCTCCTTTTCCGTCGAGATTTGACAAAAAGCTTGCACAAATTTCGCTAGGCCATATGTTCGCAGATGATAATACACTCTTCATTCCCCCACCTGAAGCAGTGTAAAGCCAGGCCTTTGTTTGGCCGACTCGTTTCCCCTCTTCTTGCAGTGCGCGTTCCCACTCGTGGCACGGTGACTCATAACACGGCAATTAAATCGTATCACTCTTTAGCAGATGGCTGATGCTTGTGGAAAAAGTGCTGCGCTGGCGTAGTTGTTGTTCACTGCTATACATTATGGGAATATTGAGGTGCCTTTCGTCGGCTTTTCTGCCGGATTTCATTAACAGATGTGCTAAGCCTATGGATCCTTCCATGCGCGACATGCGAACTGTAACTATAGTAAGTTATACTGAGTAGTAATATGATTAGCATAGTATACCACCTTAGGCTTTGGATAAATACTCTTTCATTCGGTACTGGCCTTTTAGTGACGGAAACCACTGATGATTGTCACGAGAAAACGTTATGGTTACTCGATATTATACTTCCTTGTGATGATGTGTGGTTGGTGATGACCACACGTTTAATCTTACTCATAGCCTTCAAACTGCTGTCTCCACGGCTCTTATTTGTTTATCTGAGGTCACTTTGGCACGAGTTGGGCTGCACAAACACACAACCAACCTTACCTGTCCATCTCCAACACCATCGCGGAAGACGACTATGTTCTTTGGGTAGCTTCGAGTTTGGTTCCAGTATGCACCTAGAGCATCTAAGAGATTATTACAGTTACAAGGGATGCAGAGAGATTGACGTGGTTGCGTATGTGTGCGAAACGTGTGCGCGTGCACGTATGTTTGTGGGTATATATGAGAGATTGTGTGTGTGTGTGTGTGTGTGTGTGTGTGTGTGTGTCTGTGTGTGTGTGTGTGCGTGTAAATATTAGCACCAGTCAATTCATGTCAGTCTATTTTCTCATCCAAACTGCTAGTTAACCACAAGTCAACACTGCACACCATGCCCCTTCTCAACCGCCACACCATGCCCCTTCTGAACCGCCACACCACAAGACCAGCACAGCACAAGACCAGCACATCACAAGACCACCACAGCACAAGACCAGCACAGAACAAGACCACCACAGCACAAGACCACCACAGCACAAGACCACCACAGCACAAGACCACCACAGCAAGAACAAGTCCACATGCAGTGTCAATACTAGCCGCTGTGTGCTTCTTTCGGCCTCCTAAGTGGAGTTGGATAGTTTTAGTGCGAGGTGGGTGGACAGTACCCAGGAATGCTGTGTCCAGGGGTCAACTGGTACCTTCCTTTCTGTACGGCCTTGTGGGAGTTTTTTTCAGAACTTTTAAGCGTCATTGCAGCCTTGTTATCTTCTTCAGTACAATCAACTTCGCTAATAACAACTGCGGATATAACGAACGACAGCATTTCTATGCCCAGAGCAAAGTCCCTTCCAACTGTAATACATATAATGAGACTTCGGGTATAAGGACACTTCGCGAATAAGGAAACTGTTTTGATGCCCCGCCGCCGAGTGTCGTTATACGCAAAGTTGACTGTATACCTCTAACTCTCGCAAAACACAAAGTCCTCGCCGACACCACGTGGACCGATTGTTTCCAAATGTTCACCCAGGACGGCGACATCAGAAAAAAAATTAAAAAAAATTAAAAAGCTGCATCACTCAGGATTGCGCCTTGTACCATTTCGCAGCCCAGTGTTCGCAGGTCTAGGGCCGCGCAACGCCCGGCGCGCACTTAAGTGTCGCAACTGGATTTCAGTGAGCAGCGCAGTGTTGTCCTGCCTGTGTGGGGTGGCTAAGGAGTACAACAGCGCATATGTAGATGAGGGAAGTGTACATACCTGCAGTAGGACTTTCCAGCTGATCCATATTCTCTTGCCTCTGTTCATGGATCATAGCTCGCGAAAAGTACCTGAGGCGGCGGGGAGAGAGATCAAGAATACAGTAGTATGAATACTTGCCCTTGCTGTCGTGTGGAATACTCCAATTGTCTTGGGCAAGGAGCTGGGAGTGTGGCGGGATTTGACCAGTAACCCATAGTAACCGACCCCCTTACAACATTGACATCCTAGCAGTAGAAGCGGGTCGACGGGTTCCCCGCTAACTGAATCATTGTATCACCTAGGTTGAGAGGCAATCAACCCAGCACGAGTCTCCACGGGGAGGCCAGGGGGTGGGAGGCACCGGGCTTACCTGGAATTAGTCTTGTTGAGAGACGCCACGAAGGCACCAACGGAGCTCTGGCCCCTCTGGTGGAAGACGTCGAGCCCGATGGTCATGGTACTGTCGAATGCACTTTGCGCCGCCGCGTGGCACCAGAGCTCTCCGCCCATTTTGACATTGATCTGCATGGCTATCTTGGTGACAATCGACATAAGTCTTGCATTGGGTGCTAATTTCTTAGATGTGATGCACTGGGATGGGACTGAATAGAAGATCACACACACGCACGCACGCACGCACGCACGCACACACACACACACACACATACCACCACCACCAAGAAATTATTTGCAAAGAACAAATGAGACTATGCACCAGAGATCACGGCCATTAGCCATTGCAGTGTTCGTGCACGGCTTTTACATCATAAAATGCATACATTTTCACTCGTCAATCTGCAAGAATGAGCAGCAAAAAAAAAAAAAGCCTGTATTGTATTTCTCAAACGGGGTTGCGGGTGTGTTTTCCTCTCTCGGATTCTCCTGCCCACTTCCACTTCCAGAAAGCCTCTGCGATACTAGTGCTGAGTGTGATCTCACTGCTAGAGATCTACCCACAGGCACCACACAGCGGGTGTCTGCGTGTGAATCGACAAGAGGATTCTGTTGTCCATTCGTGTAAAGGTGTATTAGTGCCGTCAAACTTCTTCAGGACGAACATCAAGGGACCATTGATATTTGTTCGCAATAGCGGGAGTTCTTCTTATCCATATTATGTTTTACCCAGTGAATACACAGGTTTTTATCTAATACAGTTACGAATACTAGTTCCTCTTAGGCAAACATTTGTCTTATCATGCAGTGTTCTTCCCAATGAGATTCTACTGTATATTCTCCTTCCTGAAGATGGGCTGCTTGCCCGAAAAATTTTGATGATTTCATTCCCTCATTTTTCAGGTATTGGTGTAGACAAGACAGCGCTTTTATTATTATTTTATTATTTATTCACAATCACGTGGCACTAGCCAATGAAATGGTGATGTCGGCGATAGCCAGCCATGGCGGTAATAGAGCTAGAGGGGAGAAAGAAAAAGAAGAAGAACTTGGAGGCTGTGTGGTTATAATGGATGGCTGCAGTTGAGTCTTCACACATTGAGAAATTGTTTGGTTTTGCATAATATTATTATTTGAAGAAAATCTGCCCTTGGCGTGGTCATCTACCACAATTCGAAAATAAATTATTGCCTTGTGTTCGTTGTTACGAAGCGGCCCTACAGAGTAATTAGTGGAATAGTTACGGTAATAATGTCACTGACGACTGCTGCCTGATAGTCCTGTGACAGCAGGATCTACATACTGGTAGTGAGCAGCTGTGTGCTGAGCTGGCACGTCCTTTTGATACAATGTGGTTTGGCCAGTGTCTTGTCCCACGTGCTTAGCATGTAGGTTGAGCGACACGCGCTTTCCCACGTAGGTGACATGCCTTCTTGGCATGACACAGCATGTGAACCAAGTCCGGATCCTGGGTAGGTGGGTTCTCGCGTTGTAAGTTTCCTGAAAGTATTTCGCTTTCTAGAAATATATCTCCAGGCTTTCTGCAAAGCCACGTCACTACGACGTTCTACAGGCTTCCACGATGCCTCGGCGCTTCGTGCAAAGAGCCAAGACGAACATGACAAATGTATAACAAGAGCTAAGTAGAAAGGAGACGTGTGCAAGAACCAAAACCGTCACCGCGCAAGAGGTCAGAGTATCACGCAAGCAAGACCAGGGAATAGGCTTTCCCCAAATTGGCCGGCGGAAAAATTCGCCGAAAACGAGACTTATCGAAAAAGCGCTAAGCCTTTCGCCAATTTTGGAGGGTTCTTTTGAGAATCGCCAAAAATCTACAAAATATTGTTCCAAAGTGCGTTTACGAACGAATGATGTTGCTGCAACCATGACCGCTCCAGCTCTCTATTTAAGTACTTGTAGTACATTAGTACTAATGCGTTGAGGTCGTATGACTCGTGTCCTTTGTCCTCCTCTCAAACAAACATTAGCCATTAGGAAGATCGTAAAATAGTAAAATCCCCAAATCGGCCGGCCGAAAACGAGACTTATTGAACAATCGCTAAGCTTTTCGCCGATTTTGGAGGGTTCCTTTAAGAATCGCCGAAAATATACAAAATCTTCCAATATCTCACCAATTTTGAAACCAATATATCAACCAATTCTTTTAGCCGACTTTCCAGTATATTCCAAATATGCAGCCGATTATCAAACAATCAGCTGATTTTGCAGCCGGATCTGATGTATTTTTGAGCTTAGCGAAAAGCCGAAGGGGGCGAAAAACTTGGGGAAAGCCCACCAGGGATGCAGCAGAACTTTTAAAGGCCGATTCACAATACAACTTCTTGCGATGCGACATGTGACTTGGGACACTTGCGACGAGCTGCGGCAGCGACATACGGTTCACAATATTCTTCATGTTTGCGACATCCTCATGCACAAGTAGTACTATGCACGTGCACTGCACGTGCATAGTACTACTTGTGCATGAGGATGTCGCAAACATGAAAAATATTGTGAACCATGTGTCGCTGTCGCAGCTCGTCGCATGTGTCGCAAGTCGCATGTCGCGTCGCAGAAAGTTGTATTGTGAATCGGCCTTTAAGTCCATCGCACGCGCCCGTCGCAGATCACGTCGCATCGCAAAAAAGCGTCTGTGAATCCTGCTTTAGAAGCCACTGAACTATGGCACATTGGGTGAGCGGGCTCCCCAGGCCAACGTGACCCTCATGTTCACATATTGTACTCTGACGTGGGTGAGCGGGCTCCCCACGTCCAAATTTGGTCTTTCTTCTCTCCATGTCTTTCTCTCTCATTCTTCTCGAATAATCACCGTACGTGTATTCTGCTTTCCTGCTGACTTGCAGCGCATATTCCGGTTTTACCTGTTCTAGTATTTCCTGGAATTACCTCGTACCATTCTTAGTAATGATCACGCCATATCTCTAAAACGCGCTGTAAAAGAAGTTCTGTTTTTTTCACGGCTGAGCGTAGCGAAAGAGTGCAAAAAACGTATTTTTCACTCACAAACATTTTCGTGCATTTGCTCTTGTTCTGCGCAACTCCGCTGAACCTGCCATCGTGGTCTTTGTTTTTCCTCATGGTACACTGTAGTTCAAGCTGTCATTCTCACTTTTACTTCAGTCGAGACTCGGTCTCCGCTCTCACTCTTGGTTTTACTTTGAGCTCAGATTTGAATGACTACTCACAACGTGAAGCTAGCCGTCCTTGCCTGCTGGTCGCGTGGGGTTGAACTTGGACCAAGCCACCAAGCCAGCTATACTGGTTGGTCACTGGGTTGTGCTGGGCTCGTCATGAGGCCACACGTCAATCCAGTCGCCGCTCGTACTGAATTCTGGGTCCGGTCACTAAGCGCAGGGAGGCGACCGTAATAATGTAAAGAGAAAAGGACCTATAAGTTACTAGTTATGACTAACAGTCCACCGAGGACTTGTCCTTGTTTGTTTTGTGCCTTGTTTTCGCGTTATCTGAATGTATCTCGTTAGCTTGGTGGACTTTTAGTCGTAACTAGTAACCATAGTAACTAACTTACTTGTACTGCAAGTCAACCAATATTCGGCGCATATTTATTTTCGGCTACTTTTGGCCTGGTCATAATCAGCCGAAAATTTGTTGCGGCCGAAAATTTGTTGCGGCCGAAATTTTGTTTTGCAAGGTTCAGTGTGACGGTCATAGTATATACAGGCGGCAGTAGTGCAGGTCGAAAATTTGATGCGGCCGAAATTGGTTTTAGCCCTGGAGGCCGAAATTTGAATGGGCCGATAAAAATTGTCGACTTATAGTAGGTCCTCTTCTCTTACCATATACTGCACCTCGCTCTTACCATACACTGTACCTCTTACCATATACTGCACCTCTTACCATACACTGCACCTCTTACCATACACTGTACCTCTTACCATATACTGTACCTCTTACCATAATTATACTGTACCTCTTACCATACACTGCACCTCTTACCATATACTGTACCTCTTACCATATACTGTACCTCTTACCATATACTGTACCTCTTACCATATACTGTACCTCTTACCATACACTGTACCTCTTACCATACACTGCACCTCTTACCATACACTGTATTTGTACGTCTGACCCAGTGAAGGTATTACTTGCTACTGGTGTGGGTGGCTAAATCAGAGTGGATCTGATAGAAGCTTTACTAGCACCATTGATTACACAAGAGTTAGTGTAGCCAGAAGAAGTCCATGGTTAACAGGTATGTACACTTCAAATAGGAAGTATAATGAACCCTGGAACCAACAAATGTAGCAGGTACAACAATACACCTTCAAGCAGTCGGGGCCGTTGGCAACAGACCCAACACAATCAGGCATAAGTGTACCCACCAACCGAACTAGCTGGCATACACACACACACACACACACACACACACACACACACACACACACACACACACACACACACAGACCGCTTCCCAAGCCGGTGGAACCAGTCCGGTTGGTCTGGCCGCCAAGGCCGGACCAACTCTTTGCTCGGCAACTGGTGTTTTGACTAACGAGGGGTTGTGTGTACCCGCAATATCATACACAAAGTAGTAAATTGCTGTGGCCGGACTAGTCACAAACTGCTTACGCTGGTCCAATTGGAAAGGGTGGAATACAAATCTCATAGTCTACAGTACACAAATTCATTTGTCGTTGCTGTCAGGTTCAGCCTCATTTCCTCTGTGCTGCGCTGATGGGTCCACAAAGGACAAAAGAGTTCTGTCCGCATATGGAGTATTCCTCCCCTGCTCTTGTTGTAAGTTGTAGCAGTTAGGTAGTGCCTTTGCTTCTTACGTAACGCAGAGCTCGCTGACTCGTCAGTTTGAGCACTCTGGCAAGGTACGTTCGGGCCGGGCTTAAGTCCGGCTTTACAAAAATAGTTTTTCATTGTTTTAAGGTTCGGCCTCATTTCCTCAGAGCTGCGCTGATGAGTCCACAAGGGAAGAAGCAGAGGATGAAACAGTTCAGTCCACACAATACTAGCGTACATTACATTCTTCTGCAGGGAAATGGGGGTGGTGCTCTGATTCCCCTTTTTTGGTTTATTAATTTGCGGTGGAAAAGAAGAGGTAAAGCTCGTGGACGGTACTCACCTGGATGGTGTCCGCAACACGTCACCTTCTTGATAGCGTCATAGCGGGACTTATCGGCGGAGGGCAACAGACAGCACACCTGTATGGGAAAACAAATTGTAGCGTTATAATTATGAAGATGGCATTAGCACACGAACTCACACACACACACACACACACACACACACGTATACACACATGCACACACACGCACGTGCACACACACACACACACACACATGCACGTGTGCACACATACACGCACGCACACATGCACGTAAGCATTCACACGCACGCACACCCACCCACGGTGACATTTTCTGTTTCTTCACAAAGATTGAGATCACGAATACGAATGTACACTGCCTCTAGAACTTTCAACTGCTTGAAACTGTCAAGCAGTCAACGAAGTCATGAAAGTTATCCAAACTTGATTTTCCTGTCTCATTCATCAGTGGAATGTCGTGCTGAACAATGATTACAATTAAATTCAATAATGTGAACTCAGAAGTTGTGACTTCGGCGGGAATAGGCATGAAGTTGCTTTGTTCCAACCAGGAACACATGCTTCTTGCCAACTTGACACTTGACTGACTCACGACTGCTATCCGGAGCACACGAGGATAATGTGTTACGAGAAAAAAATACAGTGCTAAAATAGAATTAAGGAGTCCATCTATTTTGATCTCTCGTCCTTTTCAAAACAAAAATTAGGCCGTCACTAGGATCAAAAACCCAAATGATATTTGACAGAAGTGGGATTCCGACCGACAAGCATGTCTGCACAACTATCAATGCTAAACCTTGCCAAATACTCAACCGGGCCGATAAGTCTTCATTATGGTCTCCCTTTTGAGAACTAGACCTCAAAATTATAATTGGAAGAGCATACCATACTGCATGGCCACAACACATTTGAAAAGGCCAAGTATTAACCCAGTTACCGTAAGGATATCATCATTCTCTGAATGCCCTCTGGAAGAAGAGATTGGAAACTTGCCAACTTAGAAAGGAAGAGTTTCAAACTGTATTACTGACTCGACATCAAACTCACCAGCGTGAAGGGGTTTTCTTGTTGATATGCCTGTGAAAGTTCCCAAGCGATGCAATTCACATACTCGCTGGCCCGGTCATGTTGAAGCGGAGCCTGCAAGGGGTTCCCAACCTTGAGTCCCATGGGCTGTGCAACTCTTTTCAACGTTTGGAGGAAGTGATATTTTGAATTCTCCATCCGATTTGGGTAGACAAGCAGCCAATGCTGCATACACGACAAGGTAGAGAGAAGGAGAGGGCAGAGAAATTGATCAGCATTACTTTCTTCAACATGATCTTACTCAATGATCTGGGCCCTGTGAGCAGTCACGAGCCCTGCAACCAGTCATTCAGTTACAAATGCCCCAGAGCCAGGAACAAATGCCCCAGAACCAAGCACAAATGCCCCAGAAACAGGCACAAATGCCCCAGAACCAGGCACAAATGCCCCAGAACCAGGCACAAATGCCCCAGAACCAGTCACAAATGCCCCAGAACCAGTCACAAATGCCCCAGAACCAGTCACAGATGCCCCAGAATCAGGCACAAATGCCTCAGAACTAGTCACAAATACCCCAGAACTAGTCGCAAATGCCCTAGAAACAGGCACAAATGCCCCCAGAACCGGTCACAAGTGCCCCAGAACTAGTCACAAATGCCCCAGGGCCAGACACAAATGCCCCAGAACTAGTCACAAATGCCCTGGAACTAGTCACAAATGCCCCAGAACCAGTCAAAAATGCCCCAGAACCCATCACAGTCTCCACTGCACCCCAAGAACAGTCACCGGAAATCAATCTGCAGTGTTTCACAATAATGTGTATTATCAAGTACGGTGTTTTCCCCAATAAATGTACAGTACTTTTATTTTTTCAAAGGTTTTCAGACCTGTACTACTATAGGAGACTGTACTAGTATTGGAGACGTGTACTTTTATTGTTTCTGGAAAGATTGATTGCCTGAGTTGAGTGGCAAACAACTCGTGATAATGATACTGTCAGGGCGCGTTCAAGACTACCGTGAATCCCGTCAAACCGTGAATGGCGATAAACCGTGAAGGACATTCACACTACCGATAAACTAACGTTAAGTTTTGCAGCTCTCACAGCGGCACAGAGAAGGGATTTTCCCTTTTTCCCAGCCTGAGCACTCTGTTTACTGCCGGAAAAGTTTTACTGCCGCAGCAGCCGCGGCAGTAAAACTGTTCCGCCGGTAGCGTGCCAGGAATGTCACGTGATCAAATCACCTTGGAAACTTTCCCATTCCGTCACTTTTTATCGGTAGTCTGAACGCGCCCTTAGGCTGTAAATACATCCAACCATGGTAGGAAACAGTGTAGAAAGACACAGAGATGATAAACGGATAAGAAGAACGAAACAAGGTAGACCCTGGCAACTGTACCCCAGTGATGCCCATCCCATCATTCCGGCATGTACCATTATTAGAGACGTGTCCTTTTATATTTTTGATCCACGCTCAACATGTACTACAATTGGAGACGTACTAGTATTGGAGACGTGTACGTTTAATGGGGGAAATACGGTATAATATTATCAACTGTACATATCAAGTACACTATATTATGGTAAGAGGGTGACGTACTTTCTAGAGTGTCAGACACACGCTGAACACTCTAAATTCACGCCCAAAAAGGTGGTGCGGCTTTTACTCCGATGACCAAATTCACAGTGGTAAACAGGGTCCGATGTCTGTACCATGTGACGATGTCTGTATCACGTGACAAAACAAATGGTGGTGGTGGCGGTGGTGCGGCTTATGCTCCGGCAAATACGTTTGTACAGTCAACTTGGCTAATAACGACTGCAGCGGATATAACGACAATTCGTGAATAACGACAGAATTTTCATGCCCAGAGCAAAGTCCCATCTAAGTGTACCACATAATGTTACTTCGGGTATAACGACACTTCGCGAATAAGGACACTTTTCTGATGCCCCACCGGGTGTCGTTATAGGCGAAGTTGACTGTACATCTGCAATCACTCATCTCCAGCAGGTGTTCTCAGGGTCAGTGTGAGGATACCCATGACTACCTATCTTTATGCATGAAACTTCACTCCTCAACTCCTGTAATGTTCTTTGTTGTCTTTCTTGTTATTACAGGTAGTTTTTGTCGCACTTCGTCAATCAAGCAACATCTGTCAGCCCATACCAATTGTCGGGAGTTGTACAGCGATAATGTTTTCTCAATATTGTCACGTGGTAGATGTGCGTTGCATTTGGCGGTGTTAGAAGCTTTGTATATCCGTAAGTGAGATCCTGAACTTTGCGTACAGAAAGAAAATGTGTTGTCGCTGCAATTGTTTGGTTTTACTCCTGGTCGAGGTGTTAACAATGTAACTTAATTCGCTCATTATGTTGTTGTCACTATTATTATTTTCCTTAGAGTTTTGTGTCGTTCTGAACTTGCTAATTTTCCACCTTGTCAGTGTTGTTATCTCATTATCTTTACGCTATATAAGTTTTAGTCTTTCCAACTTGATCCATTTCCTGTACAATCCTTGATGAGAAGGGGCCGAAAACGTTCGGATACTTTTGACAAGTGCCTTATATGACTGAATGTGTGTTTCCGTGGATACTTGGGACCCAAATATTATTATTATTATTATTGTAAGAAAGGGTTTGCTCCCCACACCGGAGCTCGCTACTTCGTATTATTATTGTAGAAAAGTAAAAGGACATATGGAAACGAGTTAAGAGTAACTCTCCACCACTGTAACTAGATTATACAGTCAGAAAGTGCAACAACTAGGCACAAAACTGACAGAGTACTGAGACATTCGACGTCCTGACACCTAGCTTCAACAAATATCCGTAGCGCTTACCGACAGCCTTCCAACTCGGAACCCTCTTTGGTCTCTCCATAACCTTGAACCTTCCGAGTTGGAAGGCTGTCGGTTAGCGCTACGGATATGTGTTGAAGCTAGGTGTCAGGACGTCGAATGCCTCACTACTCTGTCAGTTTTGTGCCTAGTTGTTGCACTTTCTGACTGTATATACCGGTAGTATCTAGATACAGTGGTGGAGAGTTTCTCTTAACTCCTTTCCATATGTCCCTTTTTCTTTTCTACATTTATTATTGGCTCAATAGCCGAGTTTCGATTATTATTATTATTATTTCAATTTCAAATTTTGGACTTCACGGAGATTTCGAAGTTTTAGGAAATTAGAGGCCACATGCCACGTACTGCTCTTTTCTCTCCGAAACTCAACACTTGCAAACCAGATATGAAAGAAAGAAAAAATCATCAGTCACACCACCGGGACTCGAACCAGGGACCTTGCTATTCGCGAGCAATGCTCTAATCAACTGAGCTACAGTATGACTCTTATCCACAGTGATGGTAAATCTATCCTTCTTCGATCAATCCATATCTGGCTTGCATCATACTGGCAACTCACACCAATCAAGAGGGCCCTCGGCCATTCGCTTGATATCATGGGGAGCGCATCAAACTATGTCCACTGCGAGCAAATACCGTAGAATCCCGCGGATAAGCCCACCCGCGTATAAGCCCATGCCCGCGCATAAGCCCAGGGTTTGTTTGAACATCACACAGCTTCATCGTACAAGCCCATGGGCCTAGGTCTTCCCGGGAGTCCATAAATTATGGACTCTTGGCCATACCATGTACATGTACATGTACGTAGTCATGCAAATTATAGTATTTTTCGTACATTTCAGCACAATCATCGATTGTTTTTGTTTGCACAGTGGTTTTCTGCAATGTACTTCTCACTTCCTTGATACTTTTCAATAGCACAATGTTGGTGTCGGCGTATAAGCCCATGCCCGCGTATAAGCCCATGTTCTCGTATAAGCCCACCGAAATGTCCTTGTGAAACAGATAAGCCCATAGGCTTATCCGCGGGATTCTACGGTACAAATTGTAATTTCAAATTTTGGACTTCACGGAGAATTTCAAAGGTTTAGGAAATTAGAGGCCACATGCCACGTACTGCTCTTTTCTCTTCGAAACTCAACACTTGCAAACCAGATATGAAAGAAAGAAAAAATCATCAAGCGAATGGTCGAGGGCCCTCT